GAGAGAGAGAGAGAGAGAGAGAGAGAGAGAGAGAGAGAGAGAGAGAGAGAGAGAGAGAGAGAGAGAGAGAGAATCTTAATCCTGATCTCTCCTTCCTCATCTTTACCGACACCCTTGTCTCTTCTTGTCACCTCCTGCAAAGCTTGTGAATTGCCCCAGGTATTGATTACTCCGGGTATTATCAGGAAGTGAAGAAGACGAAGCTTCTTCTCCCCTGCGCCGCCTTTGTCTACTCCTAGACTCCTTCAGAGGGGCGATTTCCTTTCCTTCCCCATTCCCATTGCCGATCCCGTCTTCCGCGCTGGTTTTCTGTACTACCACGCTGCGCAGCACTCCGAAGGAAACCAGCGCATTTCCATAGCGTGGTACAGAAAACCAGCGCGGAAGGCGGGATCGGCAATGGGAATGGGGGAGGAGGGAGGAAAGGAAACCGCGCCTCTGAAGGAGTCTAGGAGTAGACAAAGGCGGGGCAGGGGAGAAGAAGCTTCGTCTTCTCCCTTCCTGATAATACCCGGAGTAATCAATACCTGGGGCAATTCACAAGCTTTGCAGAAGGTGACAAGAAGAGACAAGGGTGTCGGTAAACATGAGGAAGGAGAGATCAGGATTAAGATTTTCTCTCTCTCTCTCTCTCTCTCTCTCTCTCTCTCTCTCTCGCGCGCGCGCGCGCGCGCGCCCATTCCTTGAGTTCCGCTCATGTCCAAATTGGTTGGAGTGCTGCGATGTTGATTAGCTATTTTATTTTACGGCCGCTATATAATTCTATGGCCCTTGATTCAGTAAAGTTTGGCTGGTCCCCGGTTTTCGGCTGATTCAGTGTCTTTTTTTTTTTTTTTTTTTTGGGCTTGGCAAATTTCTGGGGCTTGGTTGCGACCCATTTCGTTCTATTCTAAAAAAGATGCCGTTGCGTTCCGTCTGTTGTTTCCGTCGCGTAATGTTTTGTGCTGATCTTGCATGGGGCGGCCTATCACTGGCAGGCTGCGACATCGGGGTCCGGACTGGAGTGGGCTTCATCAGACTGGCAGCAACTACCTGGCCCACGAGCGGCTGGCGATCGTCGATCCCGCGTCGGGAGATCAGCCTCTCTACAACGAGGACAAATCCATCGCCGTCACTGTACGACCCTTCGCTTTCCCGACCCACTGATGATCCATTTGTGTGTGTAAGCTGAAATTGATCACGCTCTTTGCATTGTGCAAGCTGAAACGTGTCGGATGAATGTGTGTGTGTGTGTGTGTGTGTGGTGTGGTGTGACCGCTCATCGGATGAATGAGCGTGAAATTGATCACGCTCTTGGCATGTGGGTAGTTATATATTAATGAGCCCTTCTCTTGATTGGCAATTAAACGTTTGTGTTTGCTGTGTGTACTGATCATATGCCGGGGTGGGGTGGGGTGACCGCACTAGCGAAGTTGTGGGCAGAAGATCTGAATGAATGGAAAAAAAGTTGTGTCGTGTTGCGAGAAACGTATTACGTATTACGTATTATATCTCGCGAACTTCTTCGACGAGGACAGCGGCCCACGTAAATTTTTTCTGGTCCGTATCTCGAGATCCTGGCCGTTTGATCTTCGCAGTTTATGATCAGGATCACGACACAACTTTTCTTTACGTGTCGTGATGCTGATCATAAATTGCGAACATCAAACGGCCAGGATCTCGAGATACGGACCAGAAATGGCGTTGCGAAGGTGAAATGGCCAGGATCTCTTAATCCGTGCACTCAGTCTGATGGACCAATGTTTCCGGAATTCCACGGATTCTTTCCATTCAAAAAAAATAAATCTGTAGTCGATTGTCTATTTCTGGAAGCTTAGTTGTTTTGCTCCAGAGACCCTACTGATCCTCCTTTTGCGATGCTTCGAAAGCGATCCTCTCTCTCTCTCTCTCTCTCTCTCTCTCCTCGGTGTTTCCAGAGTTGCAGAGTCCTTAACTTTCTGCCTTCTGTCTGTCAGCCTGTGGCTGACATTTTGCCAAATTGATGCCTCTCCCTCCGACGTTCCTGCTTTGTTCAAGAGCGAGCCCCCCTTTCTCGCCCAAAAGCGTTCAGTAGGAGGACGGACAGTTTCGCAGAGTCTCTTCTCCCTTCGCATCGCCCAAGAATGGGGAAGGTAAATCCGCTACTTGTATCCATCGCACTTAACGTCGTAAGTCGACGTTCGGTCCCTACCGCATCGCCGTTTTCCAGGTCAGTACTCTCTCTCTCTCTCTCTCTCTCTCTCTCTCTCTCTGTCTTTCTCTCTCTCTCTCTCTCTCACCCACTCTTCCTGGATCTGCGAGAATCGCTATCACCACAACTCGACATTGTGAAGGGCTTTCAATGTCTTGGTCTTTGCGAACAGCACAGACTTATATGTGTCAAAGAGCGAGATGAATGCCTGTATTTATGAAGTCAGGTTTTTTTTTTTTTTTTTTTTTTTKTTAATGAGAAGGGGAATAACGAGTTCAACACGGTTTGATCTCGTTACCTATGTCCTAAATCAACACGGAAGCGAGATGAATGCCTGTATGTTTGTGTTTTCGTCAGAGTACGTGGTACGGAGCGTACGCTCACACTTAACTGCGGCCGTGTTTGAGTTGTGGTCCACAATCAATCATATCAATGACGGTCATTGATATAAAGTTATTAGACAACTCAGACTGCTACCGTATAGAAAGTGATTAGAAACGTATGATATATGCATCATATATATACGAAACAGTAGCAGTCCGTCACAGCCCCTCGTCTGTTGTCCTCTTTTCCCCTCTGTGCCTATGGTTCACGGGGCAGTTGTGTACGAGGTCATACTTGATATAGAGATAGACGATATGTATGATGTAAACCTAGAGATATGATATTTTTTAAATATATATGTAGACATATTCAGTCTCCTAGTGAGTCGGGGAAACGCCTCTCAGCCTCCTAATGAGTCGGCGAAACTCCGACGAAACAGTCTTGCAAAGCCCCCCGTTTGTTGTCCTCTTCTCCCTCTCATTGACTACGGTTCATCGGGCATATATAGAATCATTATAGATATGGGCGTAAATATAGATATAGATATATCTATGGATATTGTATATATCGTCACATGAATATCAGAGCGCAAAGGCGAAAAAACAGAAGAAAACAAAAAAAAAAAAAATTCGTTTTGTTATTTTCTGTCTTACAACTCCGCCTGTTCAGAACCTCTTGCGTACATATCAATTCAGCCTCCTGATGAGTCGGTGAAACTCCGACGAAACAGTTTGTCACAGCCCCTCGTTTGTTGTCCTTTTCTCTTTCTCTGCCTACGGTTTACCGGGCAGTTCTNTGATGAGTCGGTGAAACTCCGACGAAACAGTTTGTCACAGCCCCTCGTTTGTTGTCCTTTTCTCTCTCTCTGCCTACGGTTTACCGGGCAGTTCTGTTTGTGACGATATATATGTATAGAGAGAGAGGTTCTGAACAGGGGGAGTTGTAAGTAAGAAGATAAAAAATGAATTGGTATCTTTTTTGTTTCCTTTTGTTTTTTTTCGCTTTTGCGCTCTGATAACTTCGTGACAACATCTATATATAAATATCTATATAAATATCTATATAAATATCTATATATAGATATATACCTTCCTTCTTTTGCTTTTTTCCGCCTTTGCGCTCCGATTCACAGTGTGACTATATATATATATATATCGTCACAAACATATATATAGATATATATTGTGACGATATATATAGATATATAGATTTATGAATTCTTCGTCTGCAAAGAAAGAGAATGTCAGTGTAAACAGTCACGTCTTACAATTGGCCGACGCGTAGGACGCAAGAATGTAGGGTGTTGAAAAACAGACAAAAAGAAAAGGAATGCAGTTCGTTGATGACATGGGAGCGGGAGTGTCGTGATCCCATGTGCTGCAGCAGCCCAAGTCTTCCTTTGTTTTGCTTTTGTTCTTTTTATTTTTTTTTCAGGGGACAGATTTGACAATCTGAAGACGGATTTGACAATCTGAAGAGATTTTAGGCACGCTTGTTCTTTTTTTTTGGAATACTTGTTTTTTTATTCTGGTATGTACAGTGGAGACTGAGTGGACTATGTGTTTGCTTGTTATTCGTTAATATGTTAGAACTTGAAAGCGATTCAAAATGCAACTGGTCATCATCCTGACTAGAAACACTCCCTCGCATGAATCCGCCACTCCGTTGTCAATTCACCATACCATGAACATGACCATGAGCATGACCATGGCCATTGCCTTTCAAGGAAAGTGATTGACCAGAAGAAGAAGAAGAAGAAGAAGAAGAAGAAGGGGGCGATGGGCGAACGAGAAGTAGAAGAAGGCGAAGCTTCTTTTCGCGACCTGAATGTTCAGCGCCTTCACTAAACCCTGAGCATGACCTTGGGTGTCGCTCCACTACATAACATTCTTAACATGCATTTGGATGCTTTCTGGACTGGATGCATTCAAAATGTTGTAGTCGTCCGAGTGCACCTGGTGCGGAAAGCGTCCAAATGCATGTACAGTATTGTGTAGTGGAGCGACGCCCCATGACAATGAACGTCAGCCTGGATCGAGAAACTCAAGGTCCATCAGAACTTTCCTCGATATGATTATGATTGTTTCTGGTTCTGCCATCGGCCAGGAAAAAGGGAGTTTCCCAACAGGAGCTTCACCTTTCTAGGGGCTATGGTGAAGGAAACTGCCTAATGGAGGAGAAGCGGTTAACGAAGCCCTATTTTTCAGGGTTTTCCAAATGCCATTTTCAATGTATGGGGGTTAACGTATGGGCTGAAGTGGTGGTCCCATTTGTGTAAAGGGCTGGAGGGGGAGGCATATAATGGGCAATCATTGGGCTCTGGAAAACAGTGGAATATTAAATAGCTCAAGGTATGTCGGGTATCGTCCCAGGCAGTCAGTGTCTTATACAGGATCCTGGGGTGGATCTGATCCTACCTGGGGAGGGGGGTACTATCTCGGGGGGTTAGGGGGGGGGAGTACTATAGGGGGGTTCCTATCGTGGACTCAGGGTCAATGGGGTTGTCGACAAGGAACAGGCTGATGGCCTCGTACTGGGGGGGCTGGTAGCCAAAAAACAGCCCAGCAGGCCAAATAACCCATTGGCTAAATAACCTAGTGGATAAATAGGGGTTCTAAATAATCCGACAAGCTGACATCCTCGTCCTGGGGGCCTGGTTGTCAAAAATAGACCCCCTGCCAAGTAGGCCACTGGCTTAATAATCTATTGGCCAAATAGGGGTTCTAAATAGCCCAACAGACCTACTGGAGGGCCTGGTAGCGAAATAACCGCATTCCTGCCCTGGTCAAATAATGCTGGGACAGATAGGCCACTGGCTAACTAACTCACTGGCTAAGTAATAGGTCACTGGCTAAGTAACTCACTGGCTAAGTAACTCACTGACTAAATAGGGCTTCCAATATGGCCAGTACCCTTAGATGCAGGTTTCTCGGAATCCATTCCGTGCTACATCGAGGCTGGGTCTGAATAATGGACCCTTGCGGGGGTTATGTGATTGTGATGGTTTTGCCCAGAGGGTCCAGAAAGCTGACGAGGCCAAGAAATCCAGCCCACCCCCTCCCCCATTGGAGTCGTTGTAGATTGCCGACCACTATGTTTGCTTTTTTCGTGCATTCCAAAATAGCTTTTTTGCGCGTCCCAAACTGCGGCTGTGACAACAGTGCATTTAGTGTCTGTTTTGCCCTTTCCTTGACTGAGGCATACTTGTTTGTGATAGGAGACACCCTGGACAAGACCAGAACATAGAGGTGTCTGCTATGAATTGCTTGAGTGGTTGTAGATTGCCGCCCACTATCTTTTTTTTTGCTTTTTTTGCTTTTTTTGCTTTTTTTGCTTTTTTTGCTTTTTTTGCTTTTTTTGCTTTTTTTGCGCATTCCAAACTGCCACTGTGACAAAAGTACATTTAGTGTCTTTTTGTCCATCTGAAACTCAAACCTTGACTGAGATGTGTTGTTTCTGAAAGGAGAGTCTGACACCGTTGTCAATTGCTGCCCGCTATTTTTGCTTCTTTGCTATTTTAGTATTTTTGCTTTTTTGCGCATTCCAAACTGCCGCCGCGACAAAAGTACATTTAGTGTCTTTTTGTCCATCCTAAAGGTCAAACGTGGACTGAGATGTATTT